ATTAAAATTTGTTATTTTTTTATTAATTGAGATTTAATAATTTAATTTTATTTATATAATATGATTATAATTTAAATTTGTATTTAAAACTAAATTTTTATTAGCCTTTATTATAAAAAAAATTTTTTTTTTGTTAATTTCACGGAATTAATTATTTTAGAGTAGAAAATTTACATGGAAAATTAAATAAGTGCTTAATATAGAGGAGAATAGAAAAATTTTATTAACAGGGGCGTTTCAAAAAATTATTTGTCTATAAGTATTAGGATTTTTAACATATTTTTACTACAAGTATACGTACTTATCTGTAAGTATTTAGAAAAAAATTATTGGAAAAATTATTTAAGAAAAAAAATAAATCTTTTTTAAAAACAAATATTGTAGCTGTGTTTTTAAAAACGCATAACTACCTCATACTCAATTCCGAATATTTTAATTACTTAATTTTTATAAAACCTAAAACTGAAATTTAGTTTTAATAATTAAGTAGTTATTAAAAATAAATTTTTTCTACCCCATGAATCTAAAAAAGTCTTCCATAATAATTCTACAATTATGATAGTGAGAAAAAAATTAAATTGAGAAAATTTCGTGTTCGAAATATAAAGCTTTGGGTTGAAGTCTATACCGTAAAATCAAACTTGTTGTGTAAAATTTAATATGAATTTACGTTCATTTATTGAATTTTCTGATAAAAAAAACCCTTTTGCCTAAAATGGTTGAATAAAAATTCGCAGTAACTCATACATTTTATTTTACATGCGCTTTTTTGTTTTTATAAAAAACTTGTAGAAAAATTAATAGTACTTACTTAAGTAAGTATAATATACGTTTTGAAAAACTCCTATAAAATTTATATTGGCTGTCGGGTTTTTTTGTTAGGTCAGATTTAATAACAAATACATTCCTGTTTTATGATATTTTAAATAAAATATTTAAGAAAACTAAAAAAAGTTAATGCTTGTGCATATTAGATAGAAAATTTTTTAATATTACTTAAAGGTCAATATTAATTAGAAAGCAGCAAATGTCTGTAAAATTTTAATTTTTGAAAACTCATCTCATATGCTTAGGAATAGGAATAGCAAATTGTACTTATATGAATTTACATGCAATAAAATTGCATAAGAAAATCTTTTAAATTTTCTTAAAATAAAACATAATTTTTACACTACTTATTACATAATCTGCTTTATATTTTTTCTTTTAAATATTTCTCGCTTAGTGAGGATTATTTAATTAAAATCAATTTAGTAATTAATTTTTCTTCTAAATTCCGATGAAATTCATTGGCAATAAAATTTTCATTCAATTTACTTGGTTGTAATTCAATAAAAATCAATAAACTTACGATATTATACGATAATATTTTTATTTATTTTTTATAAAATCGAATTTTATATTGAAATTTCGCTACCATTGAATTCATTCTTACTTAATCCTCATCCTTACATATAAGTTAATTTTGGCATACTTTTTTTTTTGACAATAAAACAAATCGAGTTTTTTTTTCTTTATTTTCAAAAATAACCATTTAATATTTTCCTTTTTTTTAATATTAATGAGATTTTCTTATTTTTCTTTTTATATGTTTTGCTTTTTATTTTGTTTTTTATTCCCTAAAGTTAAAAAAGTATACTTAACTATATAAAAAAAAAAGTACTATTCCTTTGCTTATATTTTCATAAAAAAAAGGAAAAATCTTAACAGTTTTTTTTAATCTTTCATTTCTGTTCTTATTACAAAACAGTAAAAGTATAAGAAGAAAAGAAAACATTGAAAACAGAGGGAATGAAACTAACATTATTAAGGATAATATTTTGAATATATCCAATTTCGGAATGATAAACAGACATTTCCTTAGGTATACAACAACATAATTATTATGTATAACAATTTTTGTGTTTTTTTTTTCTTTTTCTTCATATTTTTATTTCTACTAATTATTAAGAAAATTGAATTCATTACAAGAAAGCAACAGAAAAAGAGAAATAAGAAAATCGTCAAATAAGAAAAAAATCCTTCTTGGAATAAAATTCCTTTGAAACTCCTACAAATTTTCTTACATACTTATTTATTCGATATTACTATAGGTAACTATAATGAGTACTACTTATACGAGTATTCTATATAGTTTTATATAAAAATAAAATTTAATATCACTTACATATTGATAAGTTCAAATACATATGCATATCTAAGTAATTTTTCATTTCTTTTTATATTCTTCATAATATTATTGTATGAGAGAAGAAAAAAAAACATGAGAAAATATTAAATTATGTATCTAAATTATTATCTCCTTTGTATATATATGTATATAAATGATAAATATATATAAGAATACACATTAAGTAATAAATTTGTAAAATTGTGTGTATAACAAAAAACAAAAAATATGCAAAAATAAAATCAGAAACAATAATTCTGTAAGTAAGAAGAAATAACTACGATGAAAAGGACATAAAAGGAAACCTGAAATAAATTTCTTATACTACATATAAGAAGCATATTCTTATTTGCTTTTGAATTCAACTCCTCTCACTTCACTACATACGTCTTACTTAAATTTCTATAAAGTTATAAAAATACTGAAATAGTTATGCAAATTCTATTAATAAAACAGGTTTAAGGTTCTGACTAAATCTAACTAATAAATTTGAGTAAGAGCTTTTTAGATGCACCATACTAAGTAATGTGAATATAATTTAAATAAAAAACCAAATTTACCTTAAATTTTAAATTATTCGACTTATTCAGATCATGAAAAAATTTCATTTTTGATAAAATTTTTCATTTCAAAATACAGTATAAAAGATATTTAAGGTACTCGTATCTTACTTGTTTAAAATTTTTAATTTATTGTGTACATGAATTCCTTTTCCATCTTTAAAACTTAAAAATTATTTTTTAAGAAATATTGGAACTTAGAAAAGAAAGAAACAAAAATCAGAAAGAAATAATTTTTCATTTTTCTCGTTTCAGAGTTAAGGAAGAATGGACTTAAAAAAAATTTGCAATTTTAGAGCTAAACAATAATTCTTTAAAAAATTCAGAACTAATTTTATTAATTATACTTTAGGTACACTTACAAATCCGATATTAATTAAATTCGTATCACTTTTTCTTACTGTTAGTATACACGAGTAATATTAGTAGTATTTACAACTTAAAATCGTCATATAACCAACACTCTGAATTGTTTATTATTGAAATTAAAAGAACTCATTTGAAAAAACCCTTAGAATATTAAAAGCCTCATACATTTAAAAGATTTTTTCGGCTAAAAATTAGAAATGAAGGCCATATAATAGAAAGTTCATTCAAAATTAAGATCTTGTTGTACTTATAAAGTGAAAACATTAAAATATTTTAAACTTAGAATAAATTTTTTTTTCTGAAACTCAAAAATTGTCGGAAAATTATAGTCCACTATAGTAGCTAGACTTTAAGAAAATATTCAAACAATTTATTTTTGTTGTCGAAAATTTCGAATTATAAAAAAATATTAATATTTTTTTATAAAACTATTTTTGAATTCGCTATTTTAGGAGAAAGCCCAATCAAATATTTAGTTGAATTTTCTTATAAGTCAATATTCTCTTGAAATATTAATAACAAAAATTTGAAGGGTTTTAAATATAAAAAATGTTTTCCAAAATGTTTTCAATGTGAATTAAGTAACTTCTTTTTATTATAAGTATATAAAATTTTCTACGTTTTAATAAAATAAACAAATTCCTTTGAATATTCCAGGACAAAATATCTACTTATGCTTAGGTGCTTATTAATATTAGTTATTAAAATTTTATAGTATTTATTTTTTGGTATTAAAATATTAAAATAATTTTGTTTTGTGCTGATTTCATCATTAAACGATCATCTAGTAATAAAAAAAATTACCGGCTTTATTTCTAGCCTAAATATTGTTCTAGTCTAAATATTGTTGATTTGTCATACATTTTCTCAATAAAATATTAAATAATTTTTCCGGTATCGCAGACTAAAAAAAAAACAAGATTTTTACAAAATTACAAACATATCGGCATTTTTAAAAATTTTATTGTTCCTAACTAGTTATAATCAAACTAGCAGCTCTAGCGCAGAAAACTTCCAATTTTTTTCATTATATTGCAAACAAAATTCTGTTAGTCACCAATCTTATACATTTTAATAATTTTATAATTTTATAAAATAGCCTCAAATTAATACGATACTTAATTATTTTTTAATAAATTCTCTCTAAGCTAATCGTTAAAAAATTTCTAGCTCTTTTCATAACCTAAGTATAACTTTTATAACTTTTTATATGTATAACAATATTTTATTACAATAATAATTTTTTAATTGAGAAAATAACTATTACAGGCTTAATATTATGTCCTACATCTTATAGTTATAAGACAGTTTACTAAATTGGATCACTATAAGTTCTAATCTATAATAAAATTTCACTTATTCAAACTTCCTATAATTAATTACTTAAGCTTCTCTTTAAATCAAAATTATATATTTTTTGGCTTAATGTAATTTCACTATACTTGATTGTGCTACGTCATTATGACAGCTTTTGAACTTTATTTTTTTTGGGCATTATTTATATACTGAATTTTGAGTAATTTATCTGAACAACTCCAGCTAATTCTAATCAATTCTAAAAATTCGACGGCGTTGTAATTAAATACCATTGCTTATGTAATAATTATGAAAATGAAATTCTTTAAAAGCAATATTCTGATTTAATATTCCATTTTTTAATTATTTTTTACAGATTAGTTTTCAATACATTTTTAAGTAAAAAATTGTTTTTTTTTGTTATGTAAAAGTATATTATTTAAGAGAATATATTTAAATAATTTTTATTTTAAATTCTTATAGTACATTATATGAATAGAAATATAAGATATTCATATAAGTACCTCCTAATTTAAGTTAAGTATGATAGCTTAAATCTAGTTTAAATATAGAAAATAAAAATAAAAGTAAATTTAAATTCTTACATTTTCTTTAATATTATATTATTAAAATATAATTTTTTCCATATTTTCCATTTTGTGTACGATTATAATTATTGTTTAAGAGAATTTCGTATGTACTTATAGTGTGAAGCAACAGGATAATAAAAAATATTTTAAATACACTTAAGTAATATTTATATATATTTAATTTTTTTTCTATTATGATTTGATTTTATTTTTTTTGGTTCGGAAAAAAAATTTATTTAAGTAATTTAAATAAAAACTTTTGTTTTTAATTTTATTTTTTCATGTTTTCAATCATTTTTGGATTCGTTTTTTTTAATTTTTTAAAAAATATCCTGTATATAATTTTCTTTTAAAAGGTATATAAACTTGTATTTAAAATATATACAAGAAATATTTTGGAGAAAAATAATTTTTTCTTTAAAAATTTTTTTTAAATTTTCTTATTTAATTTTAGAAATATTAATATTTTTATTTGAATAATTTTTTATATCCTTGAGGTTAAAATATCCATACCATTAAGAATTAGAAATATTTGAATAAAAATATAACAAAAATAATATTTTAATGTTACTTATTTTTTAATGTTTTTATTGTTATATTGTGTGTACATATATATATAAATAATTATTATTGTTATTTTGTTACTTTTTTATTTAGATTTTAATATTTTAATTTTATTTTATTTTTTGTTTAATATTCTTTTTTATCCTGTGATATTTTATTTATGATTATTATATTAAATATTTCGGAAATATATAATATGTATGTATTTAGTGATATATATTTATAATAATATCTTTGTTTGATTTATTAAAGAATAATTAATTATTATAATTTTTATTTTGCCTTTAACATTAATATTATATATAGCACATTTAAAAATAATTTTTTTTGTTTCATAAACTTGTAATAATTATTTGATGATTTTTCTTCTTCTGTGTAATTAATGTGTACATTTATTGTAATTATATGTAAAATTTTTGTATTTTATAATTTATTTAAATTTTAATATCATATACTTATATTATGTATACTTACATATTATATTATATTTGCACTTTAATTTTTAATTTAAAAAATTTAAATTTGCATTTTATAATATTGATATTGAAATTCAATTATTTATATTTTTTAATATTTTTTTATAATAAATACAATTTTTCAATTATGCATTGAATGTATATTGTGTAATTAATTCGAAAATTTTATATCGTTTGTTATCGAATGTTGTTACTTGTAATTGGGCTGTAATTAAATTTTTCGAATATATTAAAAAAAAACAAAACACTTTATTAAATGAATTTCTTTTTTTTTTGTAAATTTTAATTTTTAAAAATTTTTCTTTTGTGTTGTTTTCTGTATTTCAATTATAAATTTTATTTTTGTAATTTACAAATTTATTCAAATATTTTGTATATAACATGTATAATGAATTTTAATGTATAATTATGTGTGTATAATATTTTTTACTTACTCGCTATTATAGTATTATACTTGAAAATAAATTGGAAATTCGAAAATTAAGTATAAGATATGAAAAATTTGTTTAACTTGTTTTTTCGCCAAATTATTTTCGATTTTTAAATAGGGAAATAAAATATTTTAATACTCATTACGAGTATTATACCGTTTTTTATTCGTACAAATTTTACTCTATATATATATATAAAAGTGTTATCTATAAGGAATAGTATAACAAAAAAAAATAAATATATTTGATAAATAATTTATGTATTCATGTTAGTATTTCTTATATATACATTGTATACTTATTTAAAATATACACGAAATTTAATATATCGATTATAAATTTTATATTAATATGGTATTACATGTAATTTTGTGCGTATATTTAAGTATGTATGTATGTGTTTAATAAAATTTTCTTAAGTATGTAAATCAAAATATTCATAGGTATTAGGTTTGTTCCCATTTACTTATTATAATAATATAAAAAAATTAAAAGAAAGGGAAAAAAAATAATGTTTTCCTTTTAATATATATAGTAAAAAAAGTTTTATGTATATATTCAAGAAAACTAAATAAAAATAAGAAAAAAAAACAAAAAATTTAAATTATGGATAACACTCTCTCTTATTTTTTTTGAATTAATTGTTGAAAAAAAAACATTTTTTTTAATAATAAATTTTTATTCCCTTTTCTTAATTATAAAATAATTAATAAACAAACATTTATTTTCAAATACTCACTATAAGTGTAGTAAAGGAGCTAAAAGTAGCTGTTTTTAAAATATTTTTTTTCTGTGTTATTATGTATGTAGAAGGGAAAAAAAATTATCTGTATTTTTCTTACACAATTTTTCAATAAATTTCAATTTAAAAATGATGAAAAATTTAATTTTTGTTTTGAAATTTTGTTAAAGGGAAAAATTTCCCTTGTTATTGTTAAAAATGATTTTATTTTATAATTAAATTTTTCAATACAAATTTCAAAATTTTTTAATATTATTTTTATAAGAGGAAAAAAATTTTTTTTTTCTGTTATGTTTTCGATTCTCTCACAATATTTTTTTTTTTTTTTTGAAAAACAAAAGTAACTGTAAAAAAATATTATTTGTTGGTTTTGTTTTTTCTTATTTTATACAATTTTTTTAATTGAGAATTGAAAAATCAAAATTTATTTTTATATAAAAATTATTTTATGTTTTTTTATTTTTATCTTTTCCAATTAAATCATTTGAAATATAACTTTTAATGGAAAAATGAAAAAAATTTGTTTAAGAAAAAAAAAATTCCCGAAACGCGATCCCTTTTAATAAAGAATTTATCCGATCACGTCCTTACAAACCGACGAAACGTTAAAGACTAGTTTTTGGTTGGTTGGTGAAAAAAAAAACACAAGAATATTCATACAATGTTATTATGTTTTTTTTAAATAAGAAAAAAAATTTTTTTTTTCTGTACATTTTATTACTGAATATTGAGAAAATCTTCGTTTAATAATGAGAAAAATATACCGAAAAATATTTTGTTTTTTTTTTTCTTTTTCATTATAAACAAGAAAAGGAGAAAATAAAATATTTTTTTGTATTCGGCATTTTATATTTTGCTCTTCTTCCATTTATAAAAATAATATACCTACACATAAAATTTTTTAAAACAACAAAAGGAAAAAAAATTTTTTTTTGTATTATAAAAATATTATCATGTGTGTATCTAAAAATTTTGAAGATACAAAACCGCGTATATCTCTAATTTGTTATACACACAAACGTGTACATTAAATGTTATATTTTCGTTATTTTTCTTTTATTTTGATAATATTTTAAAATATTTTTGTCCCTTCTTTCTATATACCATTACCAATTTCGTATTATTCACCAATAAACAAACAATTTATCTACAGTAAATAATATTATAGTAATACGATTGATATTAGTATGTTTGTTGGTGTAGCAGTCAACGAAATAATATTCTCGTATAAAAAAAAAATATTTTATTTTTTAGTATAGCTTCTCTCACTACAAAACGTTTTTTTTAAATCAAAACAGAAAATTCTCACCAACAAAATGTTTTTTGTTATTGTTTTTAAATTTCTACATCCGTTGTTGAATAAAATTTATAATGGCAAATAGCGATTTGCTTTTTATATAGCAAATGTGTTGCGATTTGCGAATGAACGTTTCGGTATGATGTTGATGATTATTGCAAAAAAAAAATGTAAACAGAGAGATTTTTTTTTTAGTATACATACATACTTGAAATTATAGATATATTGTTGAATTGTTGATTTTGGTTTTCGATAACATATTTTTTATTTCTGATTTACTTTTATACATATGTACAATGTGGCTTCATATAAGAATTAATAATTTGCATTGTGAATATACAAACTTTGAGATTCAGATTATCCTCGGTTCCTTTATTACAAATCATGTTAAAGGAATAATTGTTATAATTATTGTTAAGCAATTAATTAAAAAATACTGTGTTATATTCATTTCTTCCTCATTACTTGTGTTACTTTTCTCATTATAAGTGAAAGAACAGGATATTAAATACGGAAGGAGCAAATTTAATACAAGACACATTCTGTTATAGTTCATGATATTCATTATCATCACTGTAAAGTGTGAGATTATTGTCAGCTTAACCAAATATTTTTACCAAGTACCTACTTACATATAATATAGTTTACAATATTATATGCTTTATTTAAGAATAAATACAAAAATACTTAAATTAGGTTTCTTTATTTTAACCCAGAATCATTTGCTATATTCTTACAGTCCTGTATCTCACCTCATATTCTGTATTTCATTCATGACATTAGTGATATCAATAAATAATTAACACAATAAATTAGGTATATAGGGGATTGGATACAATAACATTTTAATATTTTTCACTTCACAAAAAATGTAAACACATTCACTTCACAAAAAATTTCACAAAAGTAACAGTGAAATATAGTAATATACAAAACTATGTTCTCCAAATAATAAAAGACTAACATTACATTACAATAAAATGTTACTGTTATGATGACAGTAGTTTCTACTAACTCATTTTTCCATAACACATTACAACACAACAATAATTTAATTACCACTTATATACTTGGTAGTTTATTGTTGAATGCATTTAAAAATATAAGAGAGAGAGAGAAGAGATTCCTATTGGAAATTGAAAGTTGAGAGAAATATTATTTTCAACAATACTATTTAAAAACAATAATTTATTGTTGAGGAGAAACGAACTACATAATACAAAACCATAAAATATCAACTTTCTAATATAATATTATACGAGTATTATGTGTGTACACACAAGGCAAGTATCAGCTATATTCATCAAAGCAATTCATCAAGATTTCATATGAGTTTGTGTGGAATGTAAACATGGTTAAAATTAAATGCAATACAATTTTTATATAACATTAAAAATATTCTCTATTTTATTATTATTACTTTTCATCCTTATACATATTATATTTCTAGCTATATGTATGTATAATAATATGTGTAGTATAATATACAAAATTATTAAACAGCTATCTATACAAAATTAGTATAATATAATGTTGTTGTTGTTTTTTTTAATACCATATAATATGAAAATCAACAATGCACGAATTTTATAATATTAACAACGATATGGAAGAGGATAAAAGAAAAAAAAAACAAAAATAAAAACATAAAAAGAAGAGAAGAAGAAAAATATTGCTTTTGTTTTTTTG